GATTCATGGGAGGCATTGTTATGAGCTTTGGGTATTCAGCTCAACTCATGTAGGACATTGTGTGGGATCCAGGCCCTCAGCTGGATTCCTTGGTCTTAGTGTGTGGACAGATTCCCTGCACTCTTTTGTATACTGTTCTTGGGTGACTACTATAAATACTCATATGAAGTATGTGTCCTGTATTATATTGTTCCCCTTGCAAAATAAGCACCAAACCAACACACCATCCTCAGCAGCAGTATGGACCTGTGTTCCTCTAACAATAAGAACAGCCAAGTTCATATCAGAAAGCCAGCATGACAAGTTTCTCCAGGAGAATCAACAGCACACAATCTTTTCCTCCAGTTCTCTTTCTTATGCTGTTGGCAATAATCCTCAGGTGGGCCTTCCACATCCAGAAACACACTGATTCATTTCAGCTGGTTGTTACAAATTGATCATTAGTTAATCTACCATATTATCCAAACACATCTTAAATGATAGTTAAACGCCAAATAAAGACAAGTTCATGATTCTGCCTAATACAACTATCCTGGATACAACCAGAAACATCAAACAAATCTCAAGAGTTCCAGAAACGTCTCCAAAGTCTCAAGAGTTCCAGTATTTTTCAAAAATAATAGTCAACATCTCTTCTGAGACTCAAGTCAAACTCTTAGCTGTGACCTTCCTAAAAGTTGCAAACAAGTTACATAATCCCAAAGTACAATGGCACGGGGTAAACATTCTCATTTAAAAAGGGAGAAACAGGATAGAAGAGAATCAAACCCAAGCATTTTAAACCCAGAGGGCCAAACTTTGAGTCCTGTGGCTCCATATCTGGCATCGAAGGTACATGATGATAAAATGTGAGTTTCAGAAGCCGTGTGCAGACCCACCTCTTTGGCCTTGCTGGTTGCAGTTTATATGGCCTCTCTCTAGGTCTAACTCTGCCATCAGGCTGCAGCTTTCCCCCATAGATATTCTATGTTCCTGGCATCTATAACTTCCTGGGTCTCAACTGTATCTTTGGGTTCATTCCCACAGCTTCATTTGCAATCTGGGTGGGAATTTCCCTAACCCCACAACTCTTGCATTTTACATGCTCATAAAATAAGCATCTTATAGATGATGCCACGGTCTGCTGTGAGTGGGAGCAGTTGCCAGGCCCCCTTGGATCATGGCTATAGCAACCTTTGAGTGGCTGGATGACTGAACACAGTGAAATGAATCTTAAGGATCCAGTTCCTGAGGAAACTCTTCTTGAGCAGGAGGTTCAGAGGCTCTCTTTTCAACTTTTGCATTCTTCAGCCAGTGATGGGTGAGGTCTTGCTAAATTCTCGGATGCTTCAAGACAGTTTTCTTCTTATTCCAGTACAAATCAATTAGTTTCTTTTTAATGGTGTTAATTTCTTCAGCACCCATACTTCTTTTGGCCCAAACTTTATAAGTGGTTGTTTCAGGGCCAAAATTTAATTTTTTCAAAATTTTTTGCCTACAATTTACCCTTAATTCTTGCTACAAATCTAGCTATAATCAGACATCAGTAACCATATATAATAGCATGAATATTGGGCTGCTTTGAAATTTCTTCCGCCACATTAATTAGTCCATTCCTGTTAATGTAAGTCTCCTGGGAAGTCTTAGGGCATGGGCAAAATATAGACATATTTTCTGCCAGAGTGTAATACACATGGCCTCTAGTCCAACTGCCCATGGAGTGCTTGTTCCCAGCCCAAATCCTCAGCTTGACCTTACTGTCTACAATACTACCAACATTTTAGTTTTCTGAGCTCCAACCAGAATCACTTGTCAAGACATGTTTACTTAATTCTAGAGCTTCTCTAGCCTATATCTCCAAGCCTGTCCAAACTTCTCCCACAAACTAGTCCAAAGACTTCTAAATCACACAGTCAAGTATAGTCATAATCCCAATGACCCCACTTCTCTGGTACCATTTTTTTGTGTTAGCTTTCTCATTGCTAGGACACAATACCCAAAACCTACAATTTAAAAGAGGAGATGTTTCATTTAGCTCATGATTGGACTGTTTATTCCACAGTCAACGGGCTACAAGGCAGAAACATCAAGTGGAAGTGCCTGGTGCAGTAAAGGTGCTCAATTCATGTCAGCCAGGAAGAGGAATAAGAAAACAGTGCCAGAGAGGAAGGGGCAAGAAATCAAACATAAAACCCAAGGCCATGCCACTACGACCCAGTCAGTCACACCAGAAATGTGCTCCATAAATCCCCTGGGATGGATTCCAAAGCCAGTGAAATTGACACTCCACCCTAACCACCATGCCACCTTTCAAGTATATGTACAATTATTATTCTAATTAAGATGAAGGACTAGAGGGATAAAGTAACAGAGGAACAAAACTTGGAGGGAGTGAACTGAGATTTAGACTCAGGCAATTTAGTTCCACAGAGATGATCATATATCTAAAACCTACTCAAATCCCCTTGTTGCTTGGCATTCAAATCTTGCAGACTTACAGCCTTCCATTTCATTCATTCATTCACATATTCATTCAATACATATTGCATATGTACTTTGTGCTGGACACTGGCCTATGTATTGGAAATAAAGAGCTGAATGACCTAATGTTTTTTAAAGGAGGGAAAAGGAAAAGATTGACAGAAATGTGAAAATACTTATTTTACCAATATTCAGCACAATTAAACTTTTGATAAAGTAGGAACTTATTCATTTTATAACCTAAGATTGTCCATTTATGACAAGTGATAGACTTCACTATTTATGAGGCATCCTTCCAATACCTGATTTCTCCAAACACTGCCCCAGCTTTCAGAGTAACAAGGACTTGGGCACCATCAGGGCCTCCAAGAACTTGGATTTCTCCTTGCTTGATGATATACATTTCTTTACCAACTTCGCCCTGTATGCCAAATATAAAGAGGAAAGAGTAGGCACTTTATTCTTGAAAATTAGTTCCCAAATTAAGAAATACAAGCACTTCTAGAAGAGCAAATGCAGATAAAGGAAGAAAGGAACATTATTGTAAAAGTATTTAAGACCTGAAGTCGTTACAGACATGGGTTGGACACGTCATGTAAAAGGATAAGCCCTCAGTGGACATGTGAAGATACTTCACTTGGCATATTGCTCTAAGAATGGTCAGGGGCAGAGGAAGTAATTGGTTGTGTGGCTGAACCTGGCTTTGGTGACCACGGATGTGCTCTCAAGAATGTGCTTGTTCTATCCAAATAGCATGGGTTCTGGTCACGTGAAGTTCAGTTCTATTTTTCTTCCTAAGGCACTGAAGTGTGGTTTTGGGAGTGGGGCTATATGAGAATTTTTTGGTTTTTTTTTTTTCCGGTACCGGGAACCGAACTCACGACCTTGCGCTTGCCAGGCAGGCGCTTTTGCCACTGAGCTAAATCCCCAGCTATATGAGAATTTAAGCTGTTTTTCTTATTCTACATTGAGAGGGAGTGTTAATGCAGAGGGTTGTTTACTCAGTTCTTGCATGTCTTTGGGGATTCTAGGGAGCTAGAAAAATGATTCTTGAGGAAACTCTGAAAATTCAACTCCTGGAATATTTACATACTGGTCAGTGGTGTTATTCTGTAGGCCTGAGGTGGTATGTCAGCATATACCAGGATGTCAGCATTGTTTGACATAAGCACAATGATTTCTGAAATGTACCTCATACCTACCTTGAAGTCTGTGCCATGACTAATCATGTAACTATGATACTGCTCCACTGAGAACCCTGACCTAAGACCCAGATAGACTTCTTGAAGTACAGGTCTTTTGCTCATATCTCTGTGACTCTCTGCAGAGACAAATGCATATGCGACTTTCACAATAGAAGGGCCTAGGATGCCTGTGCTTGATTTCTCTAATCTGCTCATGTATATCTTTTTTGTTCCTGTCTCCTTTGCTTTAATAAACTCTACTCTATATAACTTTACATTTAATTCATGTGAGTCCTTGCAGCAAATTATCAAACTGGCAGGTGTTTGTGAGGCTCTTGCACACATCTTATCACTCCTGCTTTCAAAAAGGAAAAATAGTTCTTGCAAGAGACCTCAGTGACATTCAGGTAAAGAAAGGTTGTTAAATTGTAAATAGGCAAGTTTACATACTATGCAAACCAGTTGAATAATAGTATCCACATATCAAAATAAGTAGAGTCTTGATCACTCTGGTCAGTTGTTGTGGTCTGAATGTGTCCTCCAAGTTTTATGTGTTGGATTTAATTTCCAAATTCATGCATTAATGGAATGTAGAGGTGGGCCTTGGATTTAATTTCCAAATTCATGCATTAATGGTATGTAGAGGTGATTAGGTCATAGTTTCATGGATTATCACCAGAATGATTTTATTACAAAGGCCTGGCAAATTTGCTCCCTCTGCTTGTCATGTGATGCCCTCTGACATGTGATGATCCACCAAGAATGCCCTCACCATGAAGCTGGCACCATGCTCTTGAATTATCACATCATAGAACCATGAGCTAATAAATTACCCAGTCTGTGGCATTCTGTTATAGCAACAGAAAATAGACTAAGACAAGTATTTTAAAATAGCATGAATATAAAAAAATCATTTACTTGGTATAAGAGGAGACTGGGTTATTTGAGTCAATCAAATATTCTTATTAGTCATACTTTCAAAAGACTAAATCAAATCAACTTGAGGTTAAGCAATGTTGATCATAATCTATGCTCTAAGATGGTTGAATCAGTATCTACTTTGTTCCACTTCTGAGCACAAGGCTTGATAAATAGTAAGCACTCATTCATGAAAAAGAAAATACAGCTTAACTGAATCTAGAAAGTTCTGAAATCTTTTAATTCTTAGGGTTATGTCCCTGAAGTATATTATAATGGTCAGGTTGAGTTTAGAGTTATCTGACTCTGTCTTTTAGGTAACATCTGGGAAATTGAAATACACATTTTATCACCCTGTTACACTCATGAGGAAGGTAGAGTAAGTAAGTACTATTACTTCCATTTTACAGAAAAAAAGGGGCAGATTGGCTTCACTGACTAGTCAACACTCTATAATTCAGTATTTAAAGCAAAAAGAAGCTTAGAACCTACATCTCCTAACAGCAATGGAAGAAGAATTTTTAAATTTTACATTTTGCAGAATATTAAGGATATATTTATACTTAAGTATAGATCAAAGGAGAAATTAGATTGATTTTATTATAGCTATTTATATAATATTAATGGTAATATCTTGCATCGTACTTGAATAATCATAATATTTGATATTTGCATAGTTCCTTATTTTAACTTCTATATTTGTTGTACCAGAACATGCTGCTTTATTGTTGAAAGCACTTCATAGATATAAACTCAATTAATTTCTTTTTTTTTTTTTTTTTTTCCAGTACTGGGAACCGAACTCATGACCTTGCGCTCGCCAGGCAAGCGCCGTGCCGCTGAGCTAAATCCCCAGCCCCTCAATTAATTTCTTCAAAAATCCTGGTGAAGTCAAATAAGGAAGGTATAATTTTTGTCATTTAAAACTTGGTAATAGGAGTTTAGGAAGTTAAGTGTCTTGAGTGAAGTTACAAAGACTGGCAGGTAACAGCCCTTGAACAGGCAAAACCTATGTCATTCAACACTGGACTACATACAGACTGTATCTATTGATGAGTCTGACAGCAGGACTTATCTCTAAAAACAAGCACAATAGCTATGAATGATTCTGAAAAGCAAAGTATCTGAAAATTAGTTTTCCAAGAGATATTCCAGGAAGTAATGAGTAGGACAGGGTCATAGTCCTGCTTTTTTGCATGAAGTAATTCTCAAGAAACTGGAATGATTTTTCAAAGGCAGTTATTACAACTGACTGGAGGTAGAAGTACATAATGGGTACTTAAATATAGTTCAGCACTTTTAATTATTTCTTAATGATCATTTCAATAATTTTCCAAGGAGATCTGGCACAATCAACGAACCAAAACTTCCGCTATTTCTAGGCTAATTTAAGCTTTTTCTGCAAGTTTAATTAGCATTCCAATGAAGCAGACATTTATCAGAGAATAAGGGCTGACCGCATGTGCAAAATAAGATCGAAACAAGTTCTTGTTTTTGGTGTATGTACTAATCTGGAGAAAATGTGGACATGCAATAGGTTCTTGCAGGGTAAGGTAGCCCTTAGAGAGAATAAATACCAATTTCAGGGGCCCTGTGTAGGAGGCTATTTCAAAGGCGATGGGAGCGTTATGACACGCAAGTAAACATTAGAGAAGAGGGGTACTACTCACAGCTTTGCTCTGGAGTCATCAGAATCTCTCAAGAATTTGTTAGAGGTGCAAATTCTCAGGCCCCACTGCAGAAATACTGAATTGGAATCTCTGAGAATGAAGTCCCAGAAATCTGTGCTTTAACAAGCTCTCCGGGTGATTTCTACACTGTTATATACCATTTGGGGAAAATTCCCAGATAATCTTGAAGCAGTCCAAACTAACCTTTTAATGGGTCTAGAAAAGATTTTGAGGTTTAGGCCGTTCAGCAAACTCAGGCCCAGACTCTGCCGTTCTTCAGTTAGGCAATCTCAAACTGAGTATTTTTTTTCCTGCTTCCTTTTCCTATAGTGTTTTGTGGAAATGATAAGCAAAAACCAAGCTGAATTCAGCTGTGTAAAGTTTGGTGAAGTAGCAGCCTTTCTTCTCTATCCATATCGCCTATAATGTAAATCTTCTCCTGAAAGAAGATGTGTCTTTTCGTTTCTGTTCTTCCCCGATGTCCTCCCTCCCTTCCTTCACTGGTGTTCACTGATCTGTTTTTATTATTATTTGATGAATGTGCTGTATAAAAAGTTAGAAATGAGAAGGCTGCGTCTCTACTCTGCATTTCACACTTTGTTAAACAAATTTGCACTGCTTAGGGGCTCCAGGGCTAAAGTGTCTAGGAATTAGCTCAATTTTCAGTCTCTGCTGCTGGTGGACCAATTTGCAAGGCCATTGTGGTGCGTTAGGCCATGTCGTTACAATGCACCACTGCCCAAAGGGGTCTTTAAACTGCACTGGGGTTTGTATTTCCCATTTTAAAGAAAATGACTCATTTCACCAATCTGCTTACTTATTATATCTCATAGCTGCTTCTCAGTTGCTCTCTGATGCTTCCTCATTGACCTCTTCCATAAATGTTCGTATTCTTCAAGGTTGCAGCCTTGACCTTCTTTCTCTTACCTTTTCTTGACCTTCTGTTCATCTCAGCTTCCATTAGATTCCAGCTTTCAAAATTTACCTCCAGTCTCATCATCTCTCATAACACGGTTTCACCTGTGACCTGGACTCTCCAGCTGATGCCTTGAAGGACATCGCACTCCGTTTGACTCTGTCGTTCCCCGCCAGCCGTGTCTCCACTTTCATTCTTTGGACATGTCAAACTCTGCTTTGCTTACTAGCTCAGGACTCCAACTCTGTCAAAAAATACTTTCTGGTCTACCCTTTCTCATTTTCCTTTTCTTTTTACTGAAGAGATGTTTTTCTTTAGGTTTTACAAAGGTCATGCCTGACAAACTGACAACTTCCTTCTCTCCTGACCTCTTATCTAAATTACATTAAGTACTTTTCCCACTACACACTCTCCTGGCAACTTGTATTTTCTCCTCATGCAATGCGACATATTTTGAAGTTATGCATTTATTTAATTCCATTTATTCATGGCTTTTCATTTCAACTTTGGCTGCATTTTAGAATCACTAGGGGACTTTAAAACTGCCCATGAGTAGACTTCATCCATATCAGTTGAACCCCTAGGCGTGAAGCCGAGTCCTACACTCAGGTGATTCTGATGCACAGCGTGGACTGAACACCACTGCACTGGCCTGGAAGGTGCCAGAGAGCAACACCATCTTTCTTCTCTCAGGACTCAGACAACTGTCTACCCTATAGTGCTAAAAATTTTGAGTTTTATTAATAAACGATTCTAACGTTATTGTAACATTTGTCTCATAGTCCTCTGCACTCCCCTTGCAGACACCAGTTCTTTATCTCTGCTTTAGCTCATGCTAATTCTTTACTCAGAACACCTGTTTCCCTTGGTTCAGCCCAATTCATTTCCCAGCACTTAGTGCGAACATTTTTAGGAAATCTTGCCAGGAGCTAGGTGGGACCAGTACCCTTACTTTATTTTCTACAGCAGATCATACTTACTGCCACTGTAGTATTTAACACATTATTTTGGAATGAAATAAGGTGTTTCTCATTCTCCCTTGCTGAACTCCCTAGGTCTTGGATTCTCTCCCATTTTTTGAACTGTTCTTTATTTTTATTTTAATTATTCCAAGAGTACATTATGATTTTACAAAACAATATACATAATTGTGAACAAATTTTGTTTAACTGTGCTCTTGGCCTATATCTGAATTCTTCAAAATTTTTTAGTTGCACATTTGAAAATAGTATGTATGGAAGGGTATATTCTTGTCTCTGACTTCTCCCTTTTCTCTCTGATTCCTGGATGCCATGGGTTTAGCAGCTTTTGTCTACCATGCCTTCCTACCCTGACTTTTCTGCCTGGGATCCAGCCAACTGTAGACTCACCCCACTAACACTGTGAGGACTGAGTATGGTGCCAGTGGGGAAGATGTCCTCAACAGGATCAATATGCAAATGGTACAGCAGGAAATGACTGCCAGGGTACAGAGCACTGCTGGGGTTTTCATGGGTGGCTTCAGCAACATCATCATCAGCTACCTCATCCTCTATAGCTTTCAGGTGGGCATTGAGTGTGAGGCCACGTGCATCTCCTTGTGCCAGCCCTCTACCTCTTGGAGACTGCTCCTAGAACCTGGGCAGCTGACCACATGAGGCCTATGTCCTTGAACAACCTCCTGGGACAAGCCTGGTATCTTTAAGTGGAAGCCAAGCTGGCCAACCCTACCATCATCCTCCCCATCCTCCTGCCAACATTAGGGACCATGGACTCCCCTTTTCCTAGGATCATAGGTTCAGGGTACTTGGCCCTCGGCAGGAGCCCCAGAAGAGTGAACAGTCTTCTAGATGTGGGCCATGTCACCCTGGACAGAAAGGAGGCAGCTTTGGCCTGTACATTGGGTGGAGAGAACCATCTGGAGTTCAAGAACAGAGAGGCTTGAACCTCAGAATCCATCTTCTACTCTGAGCCTTCCAGAGCTCCAGCTTCTCTCCACTGTTGTATCCTACAGAGACACATTCAGGGACAGGCTGGGCTCCCAGTTCCTGAGGATAAAAACTTCCCAGGCAGCTGTGAGAAAAAGGGGGCAGCCTGCTTGTCTGACACAGGATGGGGTCAAGGGACAGTGGGCAGATCCTCCTTCAGGAGCTGGGAGTGTAGGCTCGCTGTCCCAGGGTTGTCCACCAAGCTCCTCCCCCCAACTAAGGTCTACGGAACAAGACATGTGCTGTCAGTGTTACCTGAGCCCAAGCCAAACCCATCCCAAGGCTGGGGCGGAGGGTGAGACTCTGGGTCAGAATGAGAGGTCTGGGTCTTTAATTTAAGGTCTTATATGTAGAATCTTGAACTGTGTGTCTATCTTTGTTTTAAAAATTTTTCTTATTGGTATGTATTTGCAGTACATAGTGGTGATGTGTGTTTTGTGGAACTGGCATGTGGCATGTGCATGTGGCGTGTATTGGCAATTTTTGTGCCCTTTACCATCTCTGCATTACCTCCCTCTTCCTCTTTTAAGTGTAGTTTCTAGTGGAGAAATCAAGGCCTTGATCATCTTGGTTTTGGTATGAAATTGTGATGTTCCTTCTGCTTGTCTCTCATGAGCAAAACATTGTGGTGGGAAAAGAGGGATAGTTCATTGCTAGTGTGGGAAATGCCAAAGAGCTATATCATTAAAATGACGATATGTCCCTCAAAAAAATCCCACACAGTGACACACAATATACAGTCAGTAATAGTAAAAGTCTCATTGTCACATACTTGTATAGTTTAGATAATATTTAGTAGTAATACCTTTGGTTTCAGATTGACTTCTATAGCAATCTGAATTTTGGGGTTTAGCTATTTCCATGTAATAGTTGAATTGTTTTGTTGTAATGAAATTGCATTAGAATGCATACCTGTATATCTTATGAAAAAAGAAAATAGTGTCTACTCACCTTTTTGTAGACAAAGTCACCAGGTAAATATATAGTGGATTTCAGTCTTAGCAACATGTCGTAAATCATCTGGGTATCACAACCCTATATAAAGAAAAGCATAATTATTACTGGCACAACTACACGACCAATCCAAATGAATTTAGAATGAAAAGGAAATAAACAAAATAGATGCTGCTTGCATCAACGCTGAAATTTCAATTGCCTTGGATATAGACTTGTCCTTACTCAAAATTTAGAAGGAAAAGACAACCATAGTACAGGGGCAAGAGCTTGCAACTTCATTAGGTAGAGTGGGTGTGATCCTGTTCTCTATAATCTATTGCCATACAGTTCTTTTGTCTTCAGTTTTCTAGTCTATACAGTGGTAACAATAATGGGAAGGGAACCAAGAGACTGAGGATGGGCGGAAGAGGGAAGAGGAAGGGGATGCACATGATTTAAGGTGTGTCATGTCCATGTACCAACTACTTACAATGAATGTAGTCGTTACATGCCACAATCGTGAACTAAAAAAATAGTAATGAAAATGGGGGTAGGAGATCTAGAGATGAAAGGAAGGAGGAAGGTGGGGAAGGCAAGGGGAATAAATAGAATCAAGATATGTTAAGGACATATGCCTACTCCCTAAGATGAGTATAAACATCATGTACAGCCAGCATGTATTAATAAAGTAAAAAGAGAATGGTGATCCTAGCCTGTAATCCTAGAACTTGAGAGGCTGAGGCAGGAGGGTTTCTGAGAGTTGAAGGCCAGCCTGGGTTGCACAGTAAATTCAAAGCCAACCTGCACTACAAAGCAAAAGCCTGTCTCAATGCCCCCCCAAAGAATGGCACCCATCTCATAAGTAAAATTTAATATGATACTTAATGAATGATAGCTATGAGGGATTATGACTATTAATATATTAGGAATAACAGATTATAGTCTTTGCTAAATATTTTTCTTCATTATAACGTCTTTCATGCCATTGTTAGATATCCTTTAATTCTGTAAACATGCTTGTCTTTCTTTTGTAACTCAATTAGCATCTAAAGGCAGGAAAAATGTACATTATTGATACAAAAGCAGTGTCTGTTGAGTGAATGATTGACTGCTCATATCCATTTAATAGTGTTGGAGACCAACTTTATTAGAATATACATCTAATATATATTCTGTCTCAATAGTTATAATTTATCTACATGATGGGCTAGAGAAAAAGTCAGAGCTGATTTTAAAATCTCTTACAAAGTGGTTTTGAATCTTTTGCTTTCACCAAATATTTTAATTTTTTTCTCTCCAAGCCGGTAACTAGTACAACTTTCTTTTTGTGGTTGGTCTTGCTCACCCCTTAGGGGAATAACGATTTTGTAGAGAACTAATCATAGTCAGTAACCGAGGAAGGAGGAGGTAAAGCAAAGGGCCTGTCCCCAATTTGTGAATGGGACAATCATTCCTTTCATGCTGACTGGTTTCCTGTAATGGCTTCAGTAGCAGACACTTGACCTAGATCCATGTGAAATTTAGACTTCAGGGTTTCTTGGCTGATAAGAAAAGTTAATAATTTATGATTGAAGTATACTCAAGTAGCTCTTGGTGAGAAGCATTCAGATGAACTTAGTGTTACAATTTTTAAAATTCATTGGAGAAAGGAGAGCTTTGGTTTTCTAGGATAGAAAAAAAAAACCACAGCCAGAAGTGACGTCTTCTTAAAGCAGCCCGACAAGTGCTGACAGCAAGCTGCGAGGTGCAAGGCTTTGTGGGTGCTCTTGGAGGAATTAAAGTTGGTCTAGTTAGGATGATGTTGCAGTAAATAGAAAAGCTATAATGATGATAGCAGATATCTTAAGACTTAATGAGTAAATATCCATAAAGCTTTTAATAGGAGGGGGATACTTCCATTTGGGAGTGAGATAAAAGAAAGGACCCCATCAAAAATTGTTCATGTTCACTTCTGCAGCACATAAACAGAAACTGCTCGTAAGGATGTCAGACTCTGAGTCACTTGAGGGTGAGTGTTATTGGCATTTGCAAAGATGCACAAAGGCCCCTTGCATGTAAAGGGAAATTTACACTTCCTTCCTTCACAATAGAATTGCTTTACATAAAGTATATAATTTTTATTTATATAAGTACTATCATGTCTTACAGGTTATCATTTTTTTGCTAAAGCAAATCATACAATGTTTTTTCTAAAAACTATGGTTGTATTGATTTTAATGAAAGTTCTCTCAATAAATAATTCAGGTACCCAATTTCTTTCAATGCTATTATCATTTCAGAATTGTTTCATTTTAGAAGTTGGCATACTGGTCATTTAAAACCTACTTAGAAAGACAACCCCACAAATATTGCATTGATCTTTAAGATATTCTCCAGTAAGGAAAGTTAGTGTCTTTGATGTTTAAAAAGGAAATCCATTAGAAATACACTTGGAAGATTTTGAGCACAATATACAGTTGTTATTTCCTCTGTATCAGTGGGAAATTGGTTCAAGGATCCCCACAGACATCAAAATTTGTGGATGCTCAAGTTCCTTACATAAAATGGCATCATATTTGCTTATAACCTAGGTACATCTTCCTGTATAAATTATGTCTAAATTCCTTATGGTACCTACTCCAATGTAAATATTTTTGTATTGTTTAGGGAATAATTGCAAGAGAAAAGTTTGTATATGTTTAGCGCAGACACAGTTTTTTCTCATATTTTAGATCTGAGGTTCATTGAGTGTCTAGATGCAGAACCTGCAGATACAGAGGAGTAGAGGTACTTGTCTGGAAATACTACAATGAACCTAGCTCTCAACTGTTTATGTCCATGCAGAAGATTTACACTGTAAATCATCAGAAATAGACAATATCACAAAACATTTCAGTATTTTCTTTCATGTAAACAATTGGATTTTGGACACTAGTTTTTACAATTTAAGTATAATTTGAAGATTAATATAACATTTTCATTCCTTGGACACTTCTTATTGGAATGCAGTTTGATGAAAATTCATGACTGTATTACTTTGTATTTATAGGAATTACTGATGACTTTAAATGTTGTCCTTTGGCAATAGTTCTAACTTTATGCACACATACACATACAAATACGTGTGTGCAGTAAATTTGTGTAATATTGTGTGGCCTTGGTATCTATTTTGAATATAGCATTACCTTTCTCATACCAGAAGCCAGGCTTGGTGATCCTTGATGCTTTCTACTTCTTGGCCTATCAGTTTCTCAAAGTGGTTGATCAAATTATCTGCCATACACAACTACCTCCTGGTGCCCACTTCCTTATGAGCAGCTAAATACAACACACTTGACTTGCCCCACTGACCTTCCCACCCCATGTGAACTGTGCACATATGCCATACTGTCCCCTCTCAGTCACAGCATGATGCCGTGGGATCCTTACTTGCTTGTTAGAAACCAAACATTAGACTCCCTGTGAAAACTTGTCTGGCTAACACCTTGGGCCCCATAAATGGTTTGGCTCACAGTCCTCCCTCATTCCCTGCCTTCTTGATTCACCACAGGCTGGATGAACAGGAGTAATGTGGCAGCTGCCCCACTGCAACTTTCCTATGATCCCATGAGCTGTGCTGCCACATTTTCCCTGGGAGCTGTAAATACTGACACTGCTTTCGTGTTTTCAGGTGTTTCGTTGTGCTGCCTCTGTGTCATATGATCAACACACCTGATGCTCACCCAGTTTTTTCCAATTTAGGGCTCTCCAAGAGAATGATCATCTTTGTAGTCATAAACTGGACAGAGGGCAGACAAGAGCCACAAGGGTGCCTGACAATATAAACAAGTTTCCAGTAGAAAGAGCATCTAGTCAGAATCCAACATTTTAGGCTGTCATCCAGAATAAAGAAACATCCTATAACACAGCCTAAAAATGCACAGCCACCTCCCCTATAACCCTGCCACTCTCCAGGGAGATGCCCCAACACCAAGCAGAGGAGAACAAAACAATGTGGCAGTACAGTAGTCTCTCCTTGTCCACAGTTTTGCTCTCCAGTGTTGCGTTACTTGTGGTCAACCATGGTCTGAAATAACTGAATAAAAATTATAGAAATGAACAATTCTTAAATTTAAATTGCACATTATTCTGAATAGTATAAAGAAACCTTGTGTTGTCCATCTCACCCAGAACATGAATCAGCCTTTTAACCAGCGTATCCATACTATGTGTACTACTTGCCTGCTAGTTACTTAGCAGCTGTCTCAATTCTCTGATTTACTATTCTTTTAATCCAGTGTTTGTTTTCAAGTAACTCTTACTTAATCTTTCGAAAATGCAAGACTAGTCATTTTGGCAATTCAGTTATTCCAACAAGAAGTCATACAGTGTTTCCTTTATGTGAATAGGTAAAAATTTTCAACTTAAGACATGAAAAAACTTTGTATGTTGAGTTTGCTAAGATCTATGGTAAGAATGAATCTTTGTTCATGAACTTGTGAAGAAGGAAAAACAAATCAATGCTAGTTTTGCTAGCATCAATTGCACCTCCAATTACAAAAGTTGCAGCCACTGTGTATGGGTTTACGTAGGGGAAAAAGGCATTACGTTTTTGGATTGTAAGTATCTAGGGGGGTTCATGGAATGTATCCCCTATTAACAAAAGGGGACTACTGCACTGTTTTTATTATTGAAAAATTGGAAAAAATATAAAGCCAATGTATAGACAGATAAAATGTTGAGCATTTGTAGGCCAGAATATTATAGAGTAACTAAAATATACTATATATATTTATTTATAATTAAACTTAAAAATGATGTGGTGTGAACAAACAAGTTATGGAATATATTCAGCATATTATAAAATAAAAAACAACAAAATACTATCTGTTGTTTATATGGATAAAAGTAAAATTGTAAAAATGATAATTGGAAAGACCTGTTTGAAAACCAGGTTAGTGGCTACCTTGGGGAGAGCAGAAGGAACTGGGTCTGGGGAGAAGTGATGAGATTTGAATTTTAATTTTTATTAATTAAAAACTCTCATAAAAACCCAAATGTGTCTTGTGTGAAAATGCATTTCATCTTTCCCCTTCTTCAGGTGAGCTCACTGGCTGAAAGCACTAACAAAGGAGACCAAA